TATATATATACATATGTACGCGAAATATAAAAAGGTTATGCAAAAAGAAGGTTCTGGAGAGCTCCCCACAGCAGGAATAAGAAGCGAATAGGTTCAAAATGTGTTGGACTAGTTGTAGTGATCCATGCGATGGGAAGGAGTGTTTTTATATCCCAGAGGTCAGAGATTACTAAAATAGCAAAACTTCAACGAGGATAGGGTGCTCGAAATTTGGTCCAGGGAGTGGGGCATTGCATCATAGTGACGCAATTGCTCTTTAACCTATTTCCAACAAAAAACTATCAATCATTATTTGATATATAATGTGACAAGATGTATGTCCCCGTATATTGCCTATTGCCCGTTTTAGAAATTAAGTTTATTCTCTCCTGATATGCAGTCATCCGGTAGTAGGAAGCTGAGTGTCTGGATTTTCATACCAAATAATATTGTTTTTCTTTTCAAGGTTAGAGCCGAAGCAACAATTCTCAGCTACACAATATATGCGGCAAAACGTGGTACTCTGAGCGCATTTCATGTTGCTGTTCATGACATCTTGTATGAGCCATGCACTGATCTTCCGGATGAGGCAATGATGCGTAAACCTATTTGGTCAACATGGGCAAGGTTAGCTGTTGAATTCGATTGGGTGGAGGGGCCGTTCTTTTGAGACTGTAACTCGTATATCTGAAAAAGAATTCCATCCTGAAATAGATTCTCGGGAGACTCCGTAATCAACTCAGTTATAGGGATAACATAGTAATCTAGGACTACTCATTGTCGTCGATGTTAGCGACTAAAATGCAACCATACGTAGGGGGCAGCCATGTCAGCCCCTGAGCTGCGTATTCTCAGTCTCGTTCATCCTCGCTCTGATAACGGATTCATTTGCAGATACAAAGTGGATATTGATCAGCAAAAATTGCTGCAGTTTGCTCAAGAAATTTTGAAGAACGAAGCACCAATTTGTCAAGTTGAATTAGATGACCGCTGGGCGACACACTACGGCGATTTCGAAGTATATCAAATTTTCATGCTTGCATCACTTCTTGCTTTCTTATTGATTTCTTTTTCGCAAATTTCTCGTGTTTTTTCTGTCCAGATCAAGAGAATGAGCATAAAATGCGAAATTTTCTCAATTTCTCAACGACTTTTCTTTAAAATTCTAAATTTTTGCTTTTTTTTTGGCTCATTATGAGAACCAGCTTTAAAACAGCCACTGCATTTTGTTTTTCAATTGTTTTGGGAAACAACATTCATTCTGGGAAGTGCGAAATTCGGATAAAAACAGTCGCGTTTCTGACGTAATCGGTTCACAGCTTTTCCGCGCTATCATTTATGGAATTCTGCTTGCCTGGCGAAGTCCTGATGCGGGACCCTTCTTTGGTTTGGCTCCTCAAGGCCCAATGGTTTGTTCATATCTAGCGCTTATATTTTGTGGCGGAGGGACACTTTGTATCGTGATTTCACTCTGGTCTTCAGTAAAATATTTTGTAGTTTGACAAATCGAAGTTTCCGGATGTGGAGGGCATGTGCAAGCAGCTGGAAGAATGGAACATAAGACTTACGCTTTGGGTGCATCCATTCGTCAATTTGGATAGTAATAATGGTAAAAATCCTGATCTGAAGGAACTGTTTGTGAAAGACTGGACAGGTGAGCCAGGTATCGTCGAATGGTGGCAAGGCGCAGCGTACGTGGTCGATTTCACCAATCCGATTGCAGTGGAGTGGTTCTGTGAGCAGCTTGAAGGTCTTAGAAAGGTAGGCAGTGCTACAATAAGGCTGCGCTCGTCGAACGTTACTCTCCTGGATCGTAAAATTAGGCATTGTACTTTTGAGGGCTAAGCAGGCCCTCATCCACACCGATAAAACCTTTCCGTGCAGAATGTCTGGTGACGCAGCGGCTTTTTCCATATTTATTGTTGCAGAGAACGTGCATGTCTTGCCCATGCCCCGTTCCTCACGACTCCTTTTGTTGTGCTGGAGCTAAAATTGGCTTCCTTACATCTAAGGCTTGTAAATAAGCAAATATATATACATGTGTATATATAGCTTATAAATATATGTTGCAAAAGAAATACTTTAACAGCAAGGAAATGAAGTTTGCGGCTAATTCTCTTCACCCTGCCAGTTGTCGTTCGATTCCATGTGATATGCAAATACCCTGTCTCCTGATTTGAGATCTCCTCTCCGTGATATATAATGATGTGATTAGAAATGAAATGGATAGCTTGGAGCTGTTGCCGCTTCTCTTCCTCGGCCCCTACATTTTGTGCGTGCAGCGCGGCAACAGTTGCCGAATCTTCCGCGCTTCTCGATTCTTTTGTTGTGCGTGTGTGTTTTTTAAAATCATTGATTTGGGTAGGTGCTGCCCGCCGCCCCACAGCAGTGGTCGAATTTTGCTCGGAAGTTACATATTCATTCAGCGAAGGCCAAATCCTTGCGTTAAGGGTTTGAGAAATCAAATGGAACAATATGCACGACTTTTTCTCAGACTTTCTCCCAATGCTTGCCCATTGAATGTCGATCATCTTTTTCTTAAATCTGGGACGGCGGCTAGAAGTAAGATTCAGTTTTTCGCAACGCCAGACTGTGGCAAAATATTGGCGGAGCCGTTGCACAACCTCGCCATCCGCCCGCTGACTGTGGCCGTAAAAAGAATATTCATGACAGATTGTGTGTAATCTGTTGATCAATCCGATTGATTCACAGATTGTTCGTTAGCACATTTATATATATTTTTTTTTCGTATAATTGGTCGATTAAGATTCGGCGCATTTTTTAAGCTGCACTTTCGCTTCTCCAATGGCTCATTGTATAATGCTGCCCCAGCAGAGAGATATACTTCGGTAAACTAATTTTGCTTTCATCCCGAACTGCATTTCTTCAGCTATTACAGATCATCACTTCCACCCACTGACTTGTCCAACTATGGAAAACTTGTTATCATCAAAGCTTTCTTTCCAGCATGGTATATTCTCATTCAAATTTGATGCTGGTGAAGTAATATATCTTCCAACCGGCGCACGACTGCATAATGATGCTGTACCACTGCTCTTCACGAGGAACTATGTGCTAGCCGCCGCAACCTTCGGCACCTCAGTTGAGGTTCAGTTTTGTTGTGCACCATTGTGAGAGGGAAAGAGTGTGGAAATGAGGAGCATTTTACTGGGGTTTTTTATTTCTTGTATGAAATTCTGTTGCAGGCACGAGTTTTCAGTCATACCCAACAACTGCCAATATTTTACAGAACGCAGGATCGTTTCTCGACATGGTGAGTCGATTTTTTCGTTCCATCACTGGGCAAAATAAAACCATAACATTTTCAGGAATAATATCGGTTTGGATACACTGATACCGGTTGCTTTAAACTTTGGCCTACACGGTTATTATTACAATCTTCCGGATATGATTGGAGGTAATGGTTACGGCGGCTCGGTTTGCGGCAAGGAGCTTTACATCAGATGGATGCAGGTGATGCCAAGTTCAGCATTCGGATGAGGGA